AAAAAATAAAAATAAAAAAAAAATAATTTCACAGCAGACAGGACACCTCCTGGGGGAGGGCAGAATACGAGCATACAAGGACCAGTTTCCTATCCTAAAAATCCCCTGGCGATCGCTTGGTAATAATTTTCCCCGAGACGGCGTGGACATCCCTCCTAAATGACCTTCACAAATTTCCTTCCTAAACCCTAGCACGCTCGTCGACCTGTGTACCAAGCAATCGCCGCCTGCCTATTCCAGGCTCCTGTGTGTCCCCGCTCCTTCTAGTCCTTCCCAGGGGGTGATCAGGCCCCCTCTTCCACCCTGCTGGGTGTGTTCCTCCTCACCTGAGCGCTCAGTTCCCCTGCTGCCATCCACTACCTGCTGACGTGAAAGGTCCGGGCGTTGAGAAGCAGAATCCTTCCAGAGGGGAGAGACGCCTTCCCCCTCTAGGAGATTCAAGCTACAAAGCCTCGGGGTGGCCTCAAATGAGACCTGTCTCCTCAAAATGAGGAGTTTCCAGGCCAATGCACCAAATGTTATAGCCATGCTTTCCGGGAAACAAACTTAGAAGGACAATGCACATAGTGGAGTGCAGTTTATTACACCGGCGGGCCCAGGGCAGAGTCTCCTCTTAACCAAGGACCCCGACCAGCATTTGTGAAAATCTTTTATACCCCATGTGTACGTGTCCAAACCCACCAGCCCAAATCCCTTGAGGCTTACAAAGGAAGGGTAAATACAATCACAATAACCCCGTCATTCACGTGTTTTGTGTTCAAACAGTTAATAATCAATAAGCCTGCGGTTACATTCCTACCAGTTAATAACTGGTAAGCCTGTGGTTACATTCCGATAGATACTGTCCAGAGGCAGGGGTGATTAGTGTCTGTTTTCTCTTAGGATCTTCAAGATTCCCCTGCCCAGAGGGGGTCTTATCCTTCCATTGTCTTCCCACAGGCGCTAAGCACAGAGTTCAGAGTCCATTGGAGAGGCGGCCTAGCACGATCAGCACGGACAGGCCTGAGATGGAGTCCAGGCCCTATGAATTCCTTCTTCAGAACTAAAGTCAAAATGCAGAACAGAGAGGGAGAGGCTATGGGGAATGAAATCGAGACTGTTGATTCATAGAGGTCTGTCAGTTCCTTCTTTCAACTGCCAAGCGCTGGGCACAGCTGGTGCCGCTTCAGGGAAACTTGAGACCCTCAGGACCAAGGGTCCTGGCAGCTGCTAGAGTCTTGCCCCAATATTCCCTGATCAGAGCTGGCTAGCCAGGAGCAGCAAGGTTACTCACTCTGCTCACCACATGATAGGCCAATAAATCCAGGAGACGGGGGATTGAGGCAAGGAAGAGACTTTATTCAAGGAGCCAGCTGACCAAGTAGATGGCAGGCTAGCACCTCAAAAATAACATCTTGTCAGGGTCTGGATGCCAGGTTCTTTTGTAGAGTCAGGGAGAAAGAAGCGATGAGGAAATTAAGTCAAAAGCCCAAATAGAGAGGGAGAGGCAGTGAGGAAGTAAAGTGAAGGGTCTTCAGTCTTTCAAAACATCTCCAGAGGAATGGCCAGCCTCTGGAAGGGGTGTGTTAAACTTTTCTATTCACAGCTGGGCAGGTTCGGATTATCTTTCTATCAGCTGAACAAGGCACTTTAGTTTACAGTCAGGCAGAGTGGCAGGGTCCTGTGAGGCAGATTATTATGTATGATTTTTAAGAACAAATCCCCTCACAGCTCAGTCGGTAATGAATCTGCCTGCAATGCAGGAGACCGGCTCCGATTCCTGGGTTGGGAAGATTCCATGGAGAAGTAAATAGCAACCTACTCCAGTATTCTTGCCTGGAGAATCCCATAGACAGAGAAGCCTGGCAGGCTACAGTCCATGGGGTCGGACACGACTTAGCGACTAAAGAGAGAGAGAGAGATAATAAAAAAAGCAATGAAAAGCAAGTCAAAGAAATAGTTCCAACATGGAGTCGTAATTGGCAACCTGCCTGCAACACCTCCACAGTGCTTTTTTTTTTTAATTTATTTATTTTAATTGGAGGCTAATTACATTACAATATTGTAGTGGTTTTTGCCATACATTGACATGAATCAGCCATGGGTGTGCATGTGTCCCCATCCTGAACCCCACCCCCCTCCTCCCTCCCCATCCCACCCCTCAGGGTTGTCCCAGTGTACCGGCTTTGAGTGCCCTGTGTCATGCATCGAACTTGGACTGGTGATCTCTTTCACATATGGTAATATACGTGTTTCAATGCTATTCTCTCAAATCATCCCACCCTTGCCTTCTCCCACAGAATCCAAAAGTCTGCTTATATCTGTGCCTCTTTTACTGTCTTGCAAAAATATATATACCATCTTCCTAAATTCCATAAGAAAATCTGTTTTAGCCTGTCTTTCATAACAGATGATTTCCTCAAAATTCTAGTGACACTTGTGAAATAGGAACCCAAGTTCTTGTTTGCAGAGCCAAAGAATGAACTTCAAAAACAGGAAAACACTCATAGCAGCAAGTGAATAGGGTTTATTAAAGAGAAAGAAAGTACAAACTCTCAACATAGGCACTGAGAAGGGGTAAAGAGTCCCACCAAAAGGTAGGAATTACAGCAGTTTTATATCTTTACCAGTATTAATCTGTACACTTTTGGTTGGCTCCTGTCCTTAAAATACATCATTTTTAACCAATCAGTTTAAAGGTCAAGATGCTTAACTTAACATCTTTATGGCTTTTCTTGATCTTCGGATTAAGTCACCACCCTTTTTTATGCCCCCTGGCCATTTTACAAAGGAGCAGATGTATGGGCTAAAGATTAAGGATCACCAGTTGTTTTTCGCACAGGCATATGGAACAGAAGTTAATTACTGCCCATCCCTGGATCTGAGTGCTGATAATTTATCAGACCAAGGACACATTCCAGGAATTCAGGACAAAGGGTAGAGCTTTAGGCTGATGAAGATGTTTATTGAAAACAAGACCAGATCTCAGAGTCTTGTGCTGACTGCCTAGCAATTTCTACCTCAATCAAGTGTCTGCTAGATTAAAAGGGAATTTAAAACTCCACTGTGTGGGTAGGACTTGTTGACTGTGTTCTTCACTATAGGATAATATGGGTGGACTTTCGCACTGCCACTGTCTTTATCTAGTTCCTATTGAATTGGGGATACTCTTCAGAAAAATATCTTGTGGTTTCTTTCTTGGGTCATAGGCCTGGCTCCCAGTTTTATTAATTCAATGCTTCTCAACTTTTAAAAAGTCACAATATACAATTTTTCCCACCATAAACTGGTGAAAAGTCAACGAAGCTGCTGTGCCCAGAGTGACTGCTCTGGGGACTCTAGGTGTTCAGATGCCCTGTGGCTATCTCACGTGCATGTGAGCGAATTAAGAATTATTTCTTCCTATTCTTAAAGAAATGTGTTTTTCCCCCTGACTCCATTTGGAGCCAAGGCCCAGGCAGTTGCATAACTGTCCTTGCTCATCCAGGAGTATGTTTTTCTTGTATAGAAGTGAAGTTGCTCAGTCGTGTCTGACTCTTTGCGACCCCATGGACTGTAGCCTACCAGGTTCCTCTGTCCATGGAATTTTCCAGGCAAGAATACTGGAGTGGGTTGCCATTTCCTTCTCCAGGAGATCTTCCCAACCCAGGGATTGAACCCTGGTCTCCTGCATTGTAGGCAGACGCTTTACTGTCTGAACCACCAGGGAAGTAGGTATATCTAACATGACCCCCACTCTGCTTTTTCCCCAGGCTTTCATCCTCCTCTTCCCCGCTCCTCATCCATGTGCCCCAGGGATTGGCAGACATGTGGTAAACCCCAGCTCCAGTGCTTTCTCAAATCTCTTATTTGCATTTTCTAATCCTCTTTCAAGGAACCTTGTATTCTAACAAGTGAGAAAACTGGCATGCAAGAAGAGATGGGTAGAAGGATATGCTGAGTGGAAGAAATGGCTCTAAATTGCTCAGAAAGTTGAGGTGTGGATGGCTGCCTCTCAGGAGGTGGGTTTGCCTATGGAATTGTCTGGGCAATTCGCAGCTTGAGGGAGGTTTTCCTTTATCTGAGCTGAAGTCTACTTCTCCTGATCCCAGCTCTGCCCTCAGCGCCATGTTGAATAAATCCAGCCTTGCACATTTTGAAGACATTTGTAGTTTAGCTGGTAGCAGTTTGCTTTGGGCTGCTTCTCATTCTTTTCTCTATTTGGGAGAATTCCTCAGTTTGTGGGACTTAGTGGGAAGTTAGGAGTTAGGAAAAGTTTCTTTCTTTTCTATCATGGTATCTGAAACATGCACCCTAGAGCCTATACTCCACAACAAGAGAAGCCGCCACAATGAGAAGCCCGCACACTGCAGCTAGAGGGTAGTAACTCCACTCTCCACGACTAAAGAAACGCTGTGCACAGCAATGAAGACTCAGCACAGCCAAAACTAAGCAAATAAATATTTTTTTAAAGAGCTAGCAATGAGACCTACATCCAAGAGTCACCACAAGAGAAAACAAAAAAGGTTAGAACCAACTAGGTCCAGGATGGCACATGAGCTGATTTCACTAGACCCTGAGCCTCAGTATATGTTCATTGTAATACACCAGCAGAGTAAATGACACATCCATAGGCACCATGACAGCTCCAAGGCTGACCACAAAAAGTCAGAAAGTGGATGGGGAGCCCAATTCCTGGAAATCCCTGCGCCTTCTCCAAAATAGTTGGAATAATCCTCCCACTCATTAGCCTATGAGGTTATCCACTCCCATAAAAACCGACAACCCCCTACCCTGGGGCCTCTTGCCTTCTGAGATGGCCCACACTCTGTCTATGGAATGTGTATCTCCCTGAATAAACCTTTCACTTTACTGTGGCCCTCTCTTGAATTCAAGTCAAAAAGTCACACTTGGCAGCCGTCCCAGGGTCTCATCTGAGACCTGGGATGTGACCGTCCTCTTGTTGCTTGCCAAAAACTTGGCTTTCTCTGCCCACCGAAGCTTAATAAAAAGTACGGAGCCAGAATTTGGAGGAAATAGAAAGGTGGTTTTATTCTGTCCGTGGAGAGGGGAACACAGTAGGTTCATGGCTCAAGAAATGTTCCCCCTTCCTCCGTGAGGAGTCTAGGGGCTTATATACGATGAGGGCTCACAGTCAGGAGTCGGTGATGAGGAACGAAGATGTTAGGATCTTGATTTCTTCCTCTTACGTTGTTTCAAAGGCTGTGATAGGCTGGCATCAGTAACGCAGTGATGGAGGGTGGCAGTTCAGTGACTACATCTTTCTTTCTGATACTTGAAGAACTGTAGGTGAATGTTGCACTGAAAAGGAAAAAAAGAAGAGCGAGTTTTTTTCTCTCCTGTCCCTGAGAACAAAGAAGATAAAAAGAATAGTGAGCAGGCCTGAATATTCCTAGTTTTTTTACTTCCAACTGCTCATAACTCTGCATGTCTGTAACTAAGTTGGCTTTTCTTCCCCCTAACTCTGCAGGAGATATATTTCACACCTATTTGTTGCAGAGAAGAAGCCAATTCTGACTCCCTGAGGAAAACTGTTTCTTTGACTTGTTTTCTTTGCTTTTGTTATTATAATCATACTTAATAGCTTGCCTCAGAGGACCTGTCTGCATCTTTTGTGCTTTGGTGTTAGAAAACTTATAAAAATGGGGAATATTTCATCTGTTCTGAAGGAAAGTTCTTTGGGGCATATATTAGATATGTTAAAATCAGAAGAGCAATAGCCCGTTAATGGCTCACAATTACACAACCTGGCAGTCAGAAACACTTTACAAAGAAGGGGGCTCCCTTGGACTTGAGGCATCCAATTCTAATGTCCCCTATAGGAGCCCCAGGTAACTTTGACAGTGGGGAACAAGCTAATGGACTCTCTAATAGATGCCACTCTTCTTTGTAAATTAAATGCCTAAATGACCTTTTTCCCAGAATAACTTGACATCAGGGTCCCACTGGGACCTTTTTGACCTTGTCCAATCTGGAGAGTTTTGGCTTCCATCTGGGAGGTTTCAGCTTGAATTTGGGGTGTTTTCCCTGTGAAGGGAATGTGGGCTTAGTGGCTTAGTCATGTCTGACTCTTTGTGGCTCCATGGAGGGGCCCTCCAGGCTCCTCTGCCATGGGATTTCCCAGGCAAGTATACTGGAATGGGTTGCTGCTCCACTGTGAAGGAAAACTCCATTATAAGGTGTTCCAGAGAGAGGCCACTGGTCTAATGGGACTGGGAATTCATGTTAATGTGACTTTCTGGCTGACTAGGTTTTGATTTATTCTGGTTACTTTGGTAATACACAGACATTTGGTACTAATTGCTTCCTCTAAGGTTTTTTCTGTTTTTCTCGTTTCTTCTCCTTGAACCCTCTGCGAACAGGTGAGTGGCTGTGGAAGGGAAGAGTTACTCTCTGGTGTGTTCCAAAGGCCCACAACCTACTGTTCTCCAGTAGCTGCCACAAAAGTGGGTGAGAGCTCTCCTTTCCTCTCCCTCCCTTAAGTTGAGAACCAAGCCAGTGGGATTACATGGCAGTTTCCTCAGTCTGTCTTCCCTATCTTTCCTTTTGCCTCTGCCTCTTTCCTCCTTGGTCCAGGTTGATTTGCAGGAGCCTGGGTGTTGCCTCTGAGCCATCCTTAGAGGCCTTCTCCTTTAGGCTAGAGGAGGAAGTGGCAAGGCTTTCCAACATGGGTGGATGGATGCCTCAGTCCTTGTTGGCAAGGCCACCCAATTCTTTTGGAAAAGGAAGGAAAAACAAAACTGTCCTTGGTTTACAAAGATAGTCTTTACAGGACCAGAAAGGTGGTTCCTAAAATCCTTTCACCATTCCTAAAACCTTCCCTGTTCATTTTATGAAGCTTGTGAATATTAAAGCAACAGTTAGAAACTGGACATGGAACAACAGACTGATTCAAAATTGGAAAAGGAATACATCAAGGCTGTATATTGTCACCCTACTTATTTAAGTTATACACAGAGTACATTATGTGAAATGCTGGGCTGGATGAAACACAAGCTGGAATCAAGATTGCCAGGAGAAATATCAATAACCTCAGATATGCAAATAACACTACACTAAATGGCAGAAAGCAAAGAAGAACTAAAGAGCCTCTTGATGAAAGTGAAAGAGGAGAGTAAAAAAGCTGACTTTAAAACTCAATACTCAAGAAACAAAGATCATGGCATACAGTACCATCACTTCATGGCAAATAGATGGGGGAAAATGGAAACAGTAATAGATTTTATTTTCTTGGGCTCCAAAATCACTATAGATGGTGACTGCAGTCATGAAATTAAAGGACAATTGCTCCTTGGAAGAAAAGCTATGACAAACCTAGACAGCATATTAAAAAGCAGAGATGAATCATAAAGAAGGCTAAGTGCCAAAGAATTGATGCTTTCTAATTGGGGTGCAGGAGAAGACTCTTGAGAGTCCCTTGGACTACAAAGAGATCAAACCACTCAATCCTAAAGGAAATCAACCCTGAATATTCATTGGAAGGACTGATGCCGAAGCTGAAACTCCTTTGGCTACCAAAGGCAAAGAGCTGACTCATTAGAAAAGACCCTGATGCTGGGAAAGATTGAAGGCAGGAGTAGAAGGGGGTGACAGAAGATGAGATGGTTGGATGGCATCATTAACTCAACGGATGAGAGTTTGAGCAAACTCCGGGAGTGGTGAAGGACAGGGAAGCCTGGCTTGTTGTAGTCTAAGGGGTCCCAAAAAGCTGGACATGACTAAGGGAGTGAAAAGTAACAATGAAATACTAAACAAAGAGAAAAAAAGTCATCCTGGGAAGAATTTGCCTGCATCTTTGAGATGCAAATATTCTCTGTGGTCTTCTCAGAAAACTTATCTCTGCTGTCTTTTTGAAATGCAAATTTTAGAGAGGGTGAAGTACTTTAGAAGTTGGCTTGCCCAAGGTAATTAAAAATTGCTTTTCCTGAAAATATTAATTATTTAGCCATCTAGCCAAGTGAGAACCCCTATTTTAATCAAATTTCTTTTATGAACTGATGGGTTTTACATTGCTGTACCTGACTCAGATCTGAAATCTTGAAATAAGAACTGAGGCCTCACTGTTGGTGGGTTTAAATGTATATATATTTGGATAACATTGCCATGGTTGATTTGTAAAAGAACTCCATTTAATTGGCTTAAATAACAGCAATAAGTGCTTACAAACCAAACAATTCTAAATACAAAAGAAATCAAGTTAAGTGAGTTTCAGATTCATATGAACTGGGAAATGGTTAATATTAAATTAGTACCTGGTATTAATATTTGCTTGTTGGTCTAATTATAATAATATAGATATGTCTTGAGTCATCAACATATTAAATATAATCTTAAGTATAATACCTTTGTTGCCTCTAGGTTTAACATAAATAAGGTATTATATTTATTACAAATTTGTCAGCAAGAAAAGTATCTCAATGTAGAAAAACTTTAAGGAAACTAAGATATGTGTTTTCAGTAGAAGGTGTGAGGTGTAAAAAAAATACTGAGTGTTTTGTGTGTGGTTGGGAGTTACCATGTTTAAGATTAATTGAGCAAATTTTTAAGAATAAGAGGGTGTAAAGTTTAAAGCTGACTTTTCTCTCTGTTAAAACAGACAAGTTTTCTGAAGATGCTAAACTGCCTTTGTAACAGATTTCAAGTTTATTTACCTTAGTTGGTAAAGAATCTGCCTGCAGTCCAGGAGACCTCAGTTCGATTCCTGGGGCAGAAAGATCTGCAGGAGAAGGGATAGGCTACCCACTCTTATTCTTGGGCTTCCCTTGTGGCTCAGCTGGTAAAGAATCCACCTGCAATGCAGGAGACTTGGGTTCGATCCCTGGGTTGGGATGATCTCCTGGAGAATGGAAAGGCCACCCACTCTAGTATTCTGGCCTGGAGAATTCCATGGACTGTATGGTCTGTGGAGTCTCAAGGAGTCGGACGCGACTGGGGGTTGTCCACTTTCATTTTTCAAACAATCTGTATTTGCTTTTGAAATCTTTTATTGTCACTTTAAAAAAATTTTTTTTGGTGTTCCTTTTACACGGCTTCCCAAATCAAATTATAATAATTCCTTTGACCTCTGGCTAACTTTGGAGTGCTTCAGAGGACCCCTGAGTTACCCCAAAGGGAGACATTAAACTAATCAGGTTCATTTGGTAAGTTAAACTATAAGGGAGGTGTTGTCAAATGACTAATAAATTTTAAGCTATATGGTAAATGGTACGATATTATAGAGATTATGTTGAGTTCCAAATAATCTGATATGTTCTTATAGAATATTATCAGCTGTAATTTTAGTTATCTGAAGGTGTTTTACATCACAGCAGTAATCAGTTTGTTTTGTCAATTGCATTGTAATCAGATTTGAACTTGCTTTCTTTAAGTCTTTTGTTAATACATTCAGCTTTGGTTTCACTCTGATGCCATGAAAAATGCCTCCTCTTCAAAGACTTTTGGATAAATACAAGTTTCTGACTTTCAGAACATAATACTGAACTCAGTTGTTGAAAATTGAAGAATTCTAATGAGAAACCTGGTGACTTCATTAAGCTTTTAACAAAAAAGGATAATTTGCATAGGACTAAACAAACTGGTAAGTATGATTATAATTTTTATGGTTTCTATCTAAAAGGATTACTGGTCTGTGTGTCTGTGCAGTTGCTAAGTTATATCCAACTCTTTGCTACCCCATGGACTGTAGCCTACCAGGCTCCCCTGTCCATGGGATTCTCCAGGCAAGAATACTGGAGTGCATTGCCATTTCATTTTCCAGGTGTAAGAAAAACCCTCACCTTCAATTAATTATGAGTTTCAATAGTTTGGTAGATTATGCTTTTTGAAACATTTATCTTTTTCTCTCTACCTGATTGATCCTTCCAGAAACATATGCTTATCGCAAAGATTAATCTCTTCATAAGTGTGCATGACCAGTACAGTAAAACTGCAGATAGCTCATTAAATCAGTTATGACTCCTTTGGTCACTTGATTATTGCAACTGGATAACAACTAGCTATCATAATCATTGTTTAAATTTGTCCTTTGTTTTCAAATTGGGCTTGTGTCTCCCTGCTGCACTATGTCACTGTCTTCATTAGTTATATCTTGCTTAATTTATAAGATTGTTGTCTCTTTCAGTAACCAATGTGTTATCAGGCGTCCAACAAAACTTCTATGGCTAAACATTTGAGAAAATCACATTTGTAACATAAAATAATTGCCATAGTGTGATTCTAGGTATGGGAAGAAGCAACAAGGAAAAATGTCTCCTGGATAGAGTTAGAATCCAGAGAATTTTTAATTATTGATGAGCCCTGGT